GCGGGCCTGCCTGTCCGGCCCGGCTCCTCCCGGGCACCCAGGCCCCGCTAGACACAGGCCTTGGGCCTTGAGCCCGGCGGCCCCCGCGAGAAGGGGTCTGGGCACGTCCCCGCTCACAGCGCCACAGTGTCCCCCCAGGCCGCCGGTGGCCGGCGGGGGTCACGCCCGCCGCGTGCCTGGCGCTTGGTCCAGCTGCCTCGGCTTGCCTCTCCGCCGGCTGTGAACGCGGAGTTCTGCAGCCTCTGAGGGAGGAGACGATGCGTCGGGGCTGGATGACTCGGGACCTCTGCTGGGTCCCAGAGTGCTGGCCCCGGGCTCCTGGACGGGACAGCCGGTGCAGCCTGCGGCCCCTGGGCCCCCGGGCCACGAGCCACTCGTGGGGGCCAGGTCCAGAGAGATGCTGTGTCCACGGTCGGCGCCGAGGTCAGCGCGCCTGGCCAGGGCTCTCCCAGGCTGCTCCTGCTGCATCCCGGAGGCTGTGGCCATGTGCCGGACACACGCAGGTTCACAGCTGTCTGAGAACCTGCGCAGGCTCCCAGGACGCGGCAAGTGCCGGTCAGCTCCGAGCACGGCTGAGTAGCTCCTTGTCCTGGGGGCTCTGCCCTGAGCAGTGCCCGGTGTACCCAGTAGACGCCAGTAGCACACTCCACGCACCCAAACTGTGTGGACATGGCCCAGCGCCCCCACCGGGGGGTGGGGAGCAAAGCACCCCGCTGCGAGCCACCCCCCTGCTTGAAAGTGGGTCGCGGTGGGTTCGGTGGCCGGATGTGGCCCCCACGACATCGGCACCCTAGTCCTCAGACCGCACGCACGTCACACTGGCACATCGGCGCTGGGGGACGGGGGACGGGGCAGGGGCAGATTTTCCTGGATTGTCCACTAGACAAGGTGACCCCAGGGTCCTTCTGAGCAGAGAGGCGTGCCCGGGGCTCAGAGGCAGAGTGCCCGCGGAGCCCAAGAGACCAGAAGAGGCTCCCTGAGCCCCCCGCTGGCTCAGAGCAGGGGCACAGGGCCTCAGCTGGACTGTCCACGAGAAAGAGCAGCCCGTTGAAGGTGTGTGCAGGGAGGCGGCTCTGGAAGCAGGTAGAAGCCAGGACAGTCTGTCCCCTTCGCGCCACGGGCACAGGCCGTGGCCCGGGCACCCGGCGTCCTGCCTCCGGGCACTCACTCCTCTGGGCAGACGGCAGGGCCGGGGGCTGTCGCGCGGGGAGACCGGCAGCGTGGCCATTGGGTGCCGCGGCATCGAGGCAGTGAGGTCCGTGCCGGAGGCGCGCGGAACCACTGCCGGGGCACAGCGCGGGACGGGCTCCCGCGGGCCTGGGGAGCGGCAGGCGAGGGCAGGCTTGTCAGGCCTCCGGCAAACACGGGCAGCTGCTCACCAGGCGCAGCCAGACGGGGCGGCCATGGCCGTCACGCCC